TCCAACAAAAACAAAAAAGAGTGGCGCTCTTCATTCCCACACATAGTTACGTACTGGAAATTAGCTGTGGACATGGCTAGAGGAGAAAGATTTAGTAGGATCTAGACTGCTCCGTCTCCTAGCCAGAACGTCATGGGAAGCCAGAGCGGTGTGACCGCTGTCCGATGCCACCTCGGTGGCTGTGAGCATCCCCACCACCAGAGTGACTACGGCCTTGGCTGACACACCTGGCTACATGCATGGGGACACCGGCCTCGAGGGGCTCGTCCTGCACAACTCGTCAGGCCCAATGTGATCCCTGGTGGGGGAAAGGCGGTTTCACACACACTGGGGGGCAGCTTTAGGTAGCAGATAAGGGGCAATACAGGGGGACCCTTGTGACTTGGAGCTGGGGTTCTCAGGGCTGCAGTGGGAGCCCTTGCTGTCCCCACATGGAGCTTCTGCACACCACAGCAGGGCAGTTAGCAGGGGGCGTCATGTCAAGGGCAGTTGTGACAGGCCACGCTCACCAGGGCACTCAAACTCCCCCACCCCTCCTCTTCCTTTTCTTCCCCCTCCTCCGCTTCCCATCTGTCTGTCCATCTCTGTGCCCCATCTTGCTCCCTTTGGGAAAGCCAGCTACCCCGTTGGGGAACCCTGGAGAGGCCCCTGTGCTGAGGACCTGGCCACTGCCACAAGGGGACTTCAGCCTCCCGGCATCACGAGGGCCATCTGCATCCAGACCTGGCCGCTCACCCCAGCCACCTCCAGACTCTAGGCTCCCAGCTCTCGCATGAGATGCTGAATGTTGTCCTTGCACCACAGTGGTTGAGGTGACAGGCCGCATGTGGCTGCAGTGGCATGGACAGGGTCTCTGGAGCCCGCCCGCTCTGCCCCTCCCTCATGCCCAGCTCCTGTGACTCCCTTGCCATTGTGTTCTAGCTATTGCTGTCTCCCCGTAGAACCCAGGACAGCGAAGCCAATGAGCCGCAGCACCGGCCCCTGGAGGTGGCCCTGGACACCAGCCTGGGCCACATCTACAAGGTGGGTCCCCTTCCAGCCACAGGCGCAGCAGGGGCCCCAGGCTGGGTGCCCTCACCGCTGTCTCCTCCACTCCCACCAGCCTGGCCCAGAGGTTCCATCCTTGCTGTCCCCTGTCCCTCCCCCTTCCCCCACAGCCCCCTGACCCCAGTGTTCTTCCTGGCAGTTCCTGACTCTGTGTGTCTATGCCCGGCCTGGGGCCTACACTGATGCCAGCCTCTTGAGCCTCATCGAGCTTCTGTGTTGCACCAGCCTGGACACGGGGCTCCGCCTGCTGCCCAAGACCAACCTCCAGCAACTCCTGCTGCACCTGCTGGAGTGCATCCGCGAGTGGCCGGGCAAGGTGTGGGCACCACAGAGGTCGCGGGGCACCCCTGACCTCTGTGACCGCTCCGCCCAGTGGGCTGGGGGCAGGTCAAGAGTGGCGATGGCAGGCATCCTCCTGCATCAGGCCGCTGTCCTTGTTCCTGCAGCTGCAGCGCCTGTGCAGTGCCCTCAGCTGGTTGTCCAACCACCACCACAACCTGCAGGCCATCGTACAGCTCTTTCCAGATGTGACCCCGAGGGGCAGGTGGGTGCTGCTCCGGCTCCAGGCCTCCCGCTTCCCGCCCTTGATTTGGGGGGAGAGGCAGAAATAGAAAGTACTAATGACTTCTTTACAAACAGACCCCCCAAAACCCAGTTCTCTGAATGCAGCCTCATTAGCAGGCCCTGGCTCCGCAATTAGCCTCCTGCAGCGCCCTGTCCTCCCCACCCCTCTAGCCCATCTGGCACAGCTTCTGTCTTGCTGTTTGCTCCCCCACACAGCTACCTCCCCCACACAGCCCCTCCACAAGAGCAGGTGCCCCTTGAGGTCCCTGCCATCGCCCCACGTCCAGGACAGTACCTGGCAGGCTCTTGGTGCCTGGGAAATTGTTTTGGAATGATGGATGATGAAAGAGGTGAACAAACAGCTCAGCACAGGGGGAGGCGACTCACCCGCCTGAACCAGGCATGGCGGGGCACTCCTGTAACTCCATCATCTCAGCTATCTGGGGAGGCTGAAGCAGGAGGATCCCAGGATTGAGACCAGCCTGGGCAACTTAGACCCTGTCTAAAAAATTTTTTTAAAGGGCTGAGAGTGTAGCTGAGTGAGACAGAGCTTGCCTACCAGGCATGAGGCCTGGATTCAATCCTTAGTACAGCAAAAAGAAAGGAAAAGAAATTCCCCCCCCCCCCACGGGACTTGACCTCTGATCTCACTCTTCCCATCTCAAGCTCTTCCTTCCTGTTTGGCCCACACCACAGGGAGCCCGTACCCTCCTGAGCAGACCTCTTCCCAGCACCATCCCATCCCAGCCTAGATGGTTGCCTACTGGGGCGGGTCCCTGCTGCTCTCCCAGTGTCCCTGTGCCCAGCTCAGGGACAGGTGCCCAGGCCTAGCCAGCCACTGCTCTGTTCTGGCCAAGAGTAGCTGCCTCTCCAGGGTCCGGAGGAAGCTTCTCTGCTGTACAGAAAGAGCCAGGCTCCTGGGAGCCTTGCCAGGCCTCCTGATCCCCGGAGGGTGGCACTCTGCCCAGCTGGGACCCCCGGCTCAGCCTAGCCCTCACCCAGGCCAGAAATGATACTAGAGGTTCTCCATCGCCTCCCTAGATGTGTGTGTAGCCTGGTGTGGAGGCACATTCTTGTGATCCCAGCACTCTAGGAGATCGAGGCAGGAGCATCGCAAGGGTGGGGTCAGCCTGGGTAATTCAGTGTCTTGGTGAAACCCTGTCTCAAAGTAAAATTTAAAGGGGGCTCAGGATGAAGCTCAGTGTGAAAATCCTGAGTTTAATTCCCAGGGCTGAAAAAGAAACCCCTCCCAGGTCCTCTTGCTGTCATTCCTTCAGCTGCTGTGGAGCAGGGCAGAAGCACCCCCCTTCCCCCGCCCAAGGCTGCGGCCTCCCGAGGCACCTGCAGTTGCTGTGACTGCCTCGCTGTACTCCCTTTCACCCACTCGGCCAGGCCCTGGGGTCCAGCCTGCCCCCCACCTGCTCCTCAGGGTCCTGTCGCCAGGGGCTGTTTTCCTCAACTCTGAGTCTCACTCCTCAGTGTGTGTGCATCCATGCTGGGCCTTCTCTTTGTCACAGCTGTGTGGTATTCCCCAGCCTTGGGACCTGGGCGTTCCCTGGGGGGATATCCTTGTGCACCAGCTTTGGGCAGCTCCTCACAGGGACATGGCGAAGTCTGCACGGTGAAGTTGGGGCCTAAAGATAGCAAAGCTAGACTGATTCGCAGGCCACCGAGTGACGTAGAAGCGGCTGTTTGTCCTCGTTCTCGCTAACACTGTGTCTTCTCAGTGCGGCTCTGCAGGCACGGTCACCTGCATGGGATGTGTCGTCCTGTGACTCTAAGCTCCATCTCCGTGGTCGCCAGGGCGAGTGAGCCTGTGCTCCTCAGCCTCCTGCGTGGCTTTTACTAGAAATCACCCTACAGGTCCTCATGCCGACGTATGTGGTGCTCCCCGTGCATGTTGCAAACACTGGATCGTCCTGTATTTTCTCTTAAGGTTGTAAATTGTCTATTTATTTATTTATAAATTGTCATTTTAAAATTTTTATGTATGGTAGCATTTAGCAAACTGAACAGTTTTTTTTTTTTTCTTTTTTATTTTGTTTTGTTTTGTTTTCTGGTTTTGAATAACGGTCTCCCGATGTAGCCCCAGCTGGTCTCGAACTCATGGCACTCCTCCTGCCTCAGCCTCCAGGGGCTCTGATTGTAGGTGTGGACTGCCACACTCAGCAATAATTTTTGTATTTTAAAGTAGGCATTTGCAGGCCAGTGGCCTGGGTGGTGCAGAGAGCTGACTGGGACTCACAGCATGAAGTCTTTGCCCCACCCTAAGGGCTCTAAGGACACCCCTCCCCGACCCCTTTTTCTCCAGGACTTGGTAACCTTGGTAGCCTTGTTCCTGGCAGCTTTCTCCCTCGGGAATCCATTTCTCCTAGGTAGGAGGCAAGGATCAAATATGATTTTTTTTCCACCCCCCAAAGAGCTGGTATACCTGATAGCTTTTTTTCAGCTAAATCATCTTCCTTTCCCCAGTAGATCTGAAGCAGTCTTTGTTATTCACCAGACCTGGGGTGCTGCTGGGTCTTCAGCCAGCCACAGGGACTGCAGTGTGGGACCTGTCTTCGCGGGGTCTGTCCTTCCCGGGTCCAGCAGAAGTGGCCTTCAGTGCTAGAGAGTGAGTGAAGGAGGGTGTCTTTCAGCTGCCCTCCGCTGGTGGCTGCCCTGGACCAGGAACTTTTTGGATTTGTTATGTATTTCTTTGAGACAGGGTCTCACTGTGCAATACAGGCTGGCCATGAGCTCACCGGGACCCTCTTGCCCTATCCTCCAGGGCACACACCACAGGGAGCCCATACCCCCAACATGCCAGGCTCGCCCAGGGGCTTTGCTAGAGGACCGGCTTCTACTTTGGCATGATTGCTATTCATGTAGAAATTTTATCTTACTTAATTTCCTAAATTGTTAGCATTGAAGGGGTACAGAATTCACAAAGTGCAAAGTAGGCAGACCCCGAAAGGCCTGCCCCTGGTCCCGAACTGCCCGCCCGGTGCCATCTCTGGGCACTGTGAGCATGCGTGCCCGCGTTCCCACCCCACACACCAAGTTTGGCAGCCCTTCGTGTTCTCTTCCTAGCCTCACTGCGCACAGCATGGTCTTGGCTTGGCACTGTCCCCTCCAAGACCCCTGCTGTGGTGTTGTCGCAGGAGCAGACCAGTGCCTGTTCTGCCATGCTGGTGGCTGCCCCACTGGGCTCCGTGCCCAGACTGTCCCCAGGAAGGAAGGCGGGCTGTTGTGTGAGGGGCTGTCACAACCTCAGACTGCTCGGCTTGGTAGGAACAAAGAAGGTGCTGGCTCCCCAGCCACGGCTGCCCAGTGGAGGACAGAGGTGTGTCCGGATTCACTACACGTCTAAGAGCTTCCCTTTCACAAATGACAGTAAATAAGCCAGGTATGGTAGTGCTTCCTGTGAGCACTCAGGAGGCAGAAGCCAGAGGAATGCCACAAATTTAAGGCCAGCCTGGGCTGCATAACCAGACAGTCCTAAAACAAAAAGAAAGTAAATATTAGGATAAACCGCCCAACATGGGGACAGTAGGAAGAGCTGTGCTGGGAAGGTGGCCCCCTGGGGTAGCCCTGGGTTGCTGGTGCAAAGGACAGCATAGCATCCCAGCTCCGGCTTCCATCCAGGCTCCCCAGCAGGGGCTGTGTTTGGAGCAGGACCCGCGGCCACTAGGCCACTCCCAGGCGCTGCAGGAGGAAGAAGGTGGCCGAAGTCGCTCAGCGGCACAGAAAGCCGATGTCCCCATTTGCAGAGGACTCGGCCCCATGCCATCTGCACTGTTTCCCAGTGCTTGCCTGGCTTTCAGGGTGGCTGGAGGAGGCGGCTGAGACAGGAGACAGGGGTGTATGACCCTGCAGTCCCTTCGCAGGGCGGTTTGGCAGAATCAAGCAGACAGCTTAAAGACCACAAACTCTTCCCCAAATGGGAGGAAGTTGCAGGAAGAGCAAAGACTTGGACTCAATGGAATAATGATGTTCATCTTGGCCAAACAATTGGAAGCACGTCAGTGCCCCATGGACTAAGTGCTGCCCAGACGATGGGATGCGCCATAGTACTTGAAAATGACAGAAGGAGGCTACGTGTGGTGACACACATCTGTCATCCCAGAGTGCAGGAGGCCAAGGCAGGAACGTCCAAAGTTTGAGCCCAGCCTGAGCTATATAGCAAGACTGTCCAGAGAAGAAGGAGGGGGGATCACAAGTTGATCAGTAAAACATGCTCATGGAAAAGGGCGATAAAAGCAAATGTGAAGTGCGATCCCCGCATTGCTGGGGAGACTTGGGCCAGGAGGCGCTCCCTCCTCTGCTGGACACCCTTCCTGCTGCTGTTCTTCCCTCCACAGCCCCTTCTTCCCATTTAGACAAAGTCATGCTCAGTGAAAAGCCTCAGAATGTTCAGCGCATGCACAGAAGGAGAGCGAACAACCTGACAGGGCCCACGCGCCTGCATCCCTCCCCCCTCCTCCGCGCCACTCGGGGCCCTGCCACTCCTCCCCACCTTGCCTACACCTACACACTGGCCCTGTGCCCTGACGCTGTACAGCGAATCTCACACACCCATGACCACAGCAGGATTACCTAGGACGTTTGACATTGTGGCAGCCATCAGGGGCAACTGAGTCACCTCCAGACCCTCCAGATGCAGAGCTCTCCCTGGCTCCCCCCATCCCAACCTGGAGCTTTGGAGGCCAGGAGAGCTCTCATGAGGAGGCCTTTCCTCACACTGTCCCTGGGATGTGCCGGGGACTCACGTCTCAACATTCCTCTGTCCCATTATCATGGTGGCCAGGGGCAGCTCCCTGGACATGAGGTCCAAGGCCCTCTGTGTCCCCCAGCACTTAAGCGACCAAAAGGTCACAGTGCTCTGGGAATGCTGAGGTTAGCAGGTGACCACACTGGCTCTCAACTCCTCTCTGCTTCTGTGATGGACAGACATTGGGCTTGGGGCCTAGGAGGAATTCCCAGAGACAGACACCCTTC